TTCACAAAAACAAACGTGTGTGTGTGTGTGTGTGTGTGTGAGTATGTGTGTGTGTGTGTATGTGTGTGTGCTCAAATAGCCACAGCCTTTCAGTGTATATTTGACACATTACAACTCTGTTCCAAAACCTAGTGAGCCGCCTACATAGGGTGTATTTCAAAACAGGATCACATGTATCCATCACAAACAAAGCAAAAACACACACACACACACACACAGACAGACAGACAGACAGACAGACAGACACACACTCACTCACTCACTCACTCACTCACTCACTCTCACACACACACACACACTCACACACACACACACACACACAGAGGGCCGCTGGAGGTTGATGTGGATTTTCTGCTGCAGTTCATCACACTATTTAATTTCTCATTGTGGAAACACAAAGCCGGAGCGTTTATCAGGGCCGGACACGGCAGATGAGCATTTATTTGTGTCATTGTTCGCTGAGCGAATCTGTCATTTAACACAGTTTGGAGGGAAACTAAATGTTTTATTTTGGAATTGTTTTTTATGGAGAAAACTGCTTATCAGTTCATTATGAATGTGTAATGCTGCTGTAGATGCTGCAAAATCAGCTTCTGTGTCTGGCTTTCCATTAAAATTATTTGAAAAAAAAAAAATATATAATATCTACTTAACACAATATTTTGCACACGTATCTTGTTTTGAGGATGTTCAGACAGTGGTGTGCGTACCATCGATGGCGGAGAGCAGGACTCTGGAGTGATCGTAGGCGATGACGTTTGCGTATCTGTTCTTTGGTTTGTTGACCTCCAGGTTGGAGTGCTCCCACGTGAACTGCTGACCGGGATCGACCGACTGAGGAGGAAAGAGGAATATGGATTAATGATTGCGTTAATGAGCTCACATTAGCATCAGAGCTAAACACGCTCACACAGACGCGGCTCAGGTTACAGCCGTATGCTAACTGCTGGCTCAGACTCGTCTCACACTAATAATATCCGTCTGAAATAGAAAGACGCGGCTATGATCAGCATTCTGAGCATTCTCACACACACACATTCAAACGCTGCTGCAAACACACTTCATCGACAACTGACCTGACATTCATGAAATTAATCAATGCATGTATCATCCATTTATGAGCAAATTAAATAATTAAAAGTCACGATGAATATCTAACAAATTAAAAAAATGAATGAATGGATTTACAGATTAATGAATAAATATACAAACAAATGCATCAATGGATTAACTTATGGACAAAATAATAATTAAAGAATAAATGAAATAAAGGAATGAAATCATCTAATGCAAAAATGCAGAAAGAAAGAGAAAGAAAGAAAGAAAGAAAGAGAAAGAAAGGTGAATCAATTAATGAATAATGAATAGACAAAATGCACTGAAAATAATAAAGGGATGATTGAATGAATGAATGAATGAATGAATTAATGAATTAACACATCAGTGAATAAATGTACAAATTAAAAGTATGACTGGAGTAACTATGTACAAAATAATGAATAAAATAAATGCATGCAACACTTTAATGGATGAATGAATGAATGAAAGCATATATAATCCATTTATAGATGAGTGACTTAAAAATGGATGGATAATGAACAAATGAATGAATGAAATGAACAGACAAAAATAAAGGAATCGACAAGTGAATCAATAAATGAATGAATAATGACAAAAAGTACATGAAAAGCACATGAATGAACTAACTAATAGAAAAATATTAATGAAAGAAAGAAAGAAAGAAAGGTGAATTAATAATGAATAGAAAACATGGGCTGACAAAATATAAAGGGATCATGGAGCGAGTGAAAGAATGAATGAATGAATGAATGACACATATGATGCGCGTGATCTTCCTGCCGTTGACGTTCTTCTTTTGATTTCTTCAGGAAGTCAGACGATTGAAGCTTTCAGCGCTGAGCTTCTTAAAAACAGGTGTGGGCCTGAAAGAGCGCGGGACGAGTCTGCCAGTGAAAGAGCTTTTGTGCTCAATATGACCTCAGCGTCAGTCTTATGTGCCGTTTGCAATTTTTTCCCATTTACTTTAATAATGAAATTATTCAGTCTCCGCAGTGTCTTTTGAAAATGAAAAGATGATACGCATCTGCCTGCGAGCCCAGCTCTCCAAGTTGACAAATTTCAAATTACAGTTTTCAGAGGAGCGTTGAATGAATGAAAATTGGTCCCGTAAGCGAAGAGGGGAAAGTAATGTCTTCATGCCTTGAATAGATTTTAAAGGATCACGCAGAGATGTGCTCCCTTTCAAACGGCGCTTTTGTCCACTGATGTGCCCTTTCAAACGACAGCAGACGACTGCAAACAAATCACAGCCCCACTTGGACAAATTACACTCAGAAATAGCAAAACGATAAACGCTGTGAGACTGTCAACAGCCAAAGCACATATTTCACATTCGACACATATAGCTGCGAGGAAAGACGAGGAGACGCTGCTGTTTTAGCTGTAAAGCACTGGCGCTTGTTTGCGTAACTCTACAATAAGCAAACGGGCCTCGATATGAAGAACCGTAAATTGACAGCCGTCAGGCCGCGGGAGATACGATGGTAAAGCTGCACTGTGAGCGCGACTGATACGATCGCGTTTGTGAGCGGCAAACGTTCATCAGGTCAGACACACCGAGCGACCGCGTGAACAGTGGTCCGTCTGAACACATGTGCATAAGCTTACCGGGACGTTGCTATGCGGTTGCCAGGGTGATTGTTTTTAAATCAGTTTGAGTAACAGTCATAGTGATGCTTGACTTCCAATAATAATGTTGAAAAACATTCATGTTCATTTTAAACCTTTTCAAATTTTAAATAGTTTCCAAAAGAATAGAAAACCTGAAAAGAATGAAAGTTGTGTTGTTTGTTTAAGATTAAAAAAACAAACAAAAAAACACCTTTCATATTTAAATCCAGCATTTAAATGCGGTAGTGAATCCACTAAATAATCATTGTGTGTGTATGGACCATAATTCACTCTCGAAATTGCAATGACTGACATTATGGTAAGCATAGCAACATTCTGGCATCCTCTATTTTTGTCGTATTATTTGTCATACTATATTCTGTCATTTTAGTAATATTATAAGACTTGAGGTCAGATTTACTATCAGCTTGCGCCAGCGCAAACCCTCATTTGGCGTTAAAAACTGTCAGGATTTACACGCAGTGGGAAATTAGCGCTGAAAATGTGTGGATATTATTGAATATGCATTTGTAGGAGTTTCCCTTTCGATCGGTAAATTTACGGGAGGAGAGTATTTCAATAAATCATGCGATTTACTAAGATTTACGCTCGTCAATTTACTGGTATTTGTGGCATTATTTAACACCTGAAAAAGCATGTCTTAAAGCAGGCGGTAATTTGCGCAGCTCTTGGTAGATTGCGCTGGTCATTATGGAAATGAGATGTTGCGTCTGTGTTCTTTAATCTGCACCTTGTCAGTAAATCGTCCACAGAATTTTCCCTCCCATCGGCATTTGTATGGAATTGCGCTCTAACGCTAATTTGCCCTGTTTAGTAAATCTGGCCCTTGTTATGTTTAGCGATTTTAACTAAACCATCATCAACAGAACTGTCTTGTTTATGTTTGTAAGGCTGCTTTGCCGAGCGCACTCTTAAAAGGTTGCCATGTCCACTTACTATAAACAACATTTATTAAGCATTTTTGTGCTTGTTGTTTTGCTCAGCTCATAAAGCGATCCAGCTGATGGAGTTAATAAAATAGGCAGGAGCAGGTCATGATATTTGGGTATATGTCTTATTTCCAAGATAAAGTGTTTGGATTTAAGTTTATTTTGGGCTTGTTCTTATTTGCCGTTTTCTAGAAAGACCTGGCAACATTTATGAGATAAGATGTACCTCCTTCCCTGTGATTTCTTGCACTGCGCATACAGAAGAGAGACTCAACTCTGATACATATTTAAATATGGAGCTGGCCAATAAGAACTCTCTGCACTATTTCTAGGTGACTAATGAAATATAAATAAGTGACACTGATCATGTGACTCAAGATACTCTCTGGATCATCTCAAACCATGCTGGAGAAGTTGATCACCAACTCAGACAAACCAAATACTTGGCAAATTCATGATCATTTTAAACCTTTCACTCAAATTGTTATGATTACGATATGATTTGTATTTATATAAGAACATTGCAAAACACAAGCATTTAAACCAGTGGTTCTCAACCAGGGGGCCTCAGCATACATCCGAGGGGCACACAAAATGGCTTAAAATCATTTAAAATAAAACAAGTCTTACAATAAACTAAACAGCTAAAAACACAACCTAGCACCATGTTTCTTAATATAATCAGTACCTTTAACAACTGCCATTTTTATTTAAGAATTAGTGTTATAGAATATCTTATTTGGTAGAAATTGCAATTTGTAAGTAAAAGACAACTGTAATCAAACCAGCTTTTTTCATGCAGAAAGTAGTGAAATGGCTGAGCATTACCTCATACTCCTGCGACAACTTCAAGTTGTCGTTTGCTTTCAGGCGTTCGATGTGATCGGCCAGCTCCATGACTGGGATGGGAGGGGGACTGGCCATCCCTGCAGACAGGAGACAAACACAGAAACGCGTTAGGGGCTGGATATTAAAGTTTGAGCCGGCGATGAGTCTAAAGGATGCGACATATCAAACCCCGCCTCCTGCGCTGGCGTGAGGCAAAGCGGCGTGAGGAGATGAACGCAGTCTAGAGAGGAAGTGAAGGAAATGAACAGACACAGTGGCATATGTAGAAACAAGAACGACTAACTTGACAAATGGAGGTTACTGGGGTAAACCGATGTGGCTGAACCTGCGAAGGAAAAGGGGACGGGGATAAATCATACTAGCTGACGTTAAAACAAGCAAATGTGGTGATCGGTCTCTATCGGAACTAAAAAAAAGAGGCAGTAGAAACACAGTCTGAAATGACAGTCGACAGTTCGCAAACCACGCTACGGCTCCATCTCTACGTTTATTTGTTAGTAAAAACACATGCTAACGGCTAACGGACGACAAACATGCGGAAATGAGGATAACACGTTCGGAAGGGAAACCAAGAAGAAAAAAAAACACACACAAATGCAACAAGGACAGAGAAGATGGCATGCACGTTTATCATGCGCATGTTTGTCTGTTCTCTAAGGGCTTCGACTGTGAGATTCGCAAAGAAGGCGTGTGTCTGCGAGAGAGTTTGTGTTTGCACTGCAGAGGATGCTTTTGAATAGTCGAGAAGCAGAAGCTGCTCTCTGATAACCGGTTTGCATAACAACAGCCTGCGTGCCGCAGAAAAAGAGGCCGTATGCTTGAACGCGGTGCTGCGGCTCTTTCATCTCTGGGCTGATAGAAGAGGGCATTAGCTAATGGAGGCAGCAGGAGAGAGCTGCCATCCACCGCCTCTCAAGACCCATTACCAGCCGCAGTGACAGTGAAACTGCCATTCGGAGAAACGCATCGGAGCGACATCAAGCACCCTCAAGATGAAAATTGAGATGGGGAGGAGGGGGGAGTGACCGCACGACGGCATCAAGGGTTTGGAGAGAGGAGGGCTAATGCAGAGGCCGTTCTCACTGAAGAGAGGGATCTTCAGCTGTCGAGAGCTGCGTTCGGGCTGCCTGAAGGGAAAATGGAGGATGCAAAGCTTCTCTAAGAGGCTGTTTGGGAAAGAGGGGCACGAATGCGCTAATAAAGAGCCGCCGAGAGGATTGAGTGCATGGAACATCGCTCTCGAAACCATTTTGCAATGCAAACTCGACACGTGAATGTGAACCCCACCGCATTTGAGTCGTAGGCGAATATCAAAACGAACGGCACTGCTGCGTAAGGATGGGAATCGAGTTCAACGGCAACATTTACAATTCTTTGGGCACTTGAGGAATGGTTCAAGAAGAAAACCAAGCCTGAACCAGCCTGAGGTGGTTTGACTGGGCTCACTTTAGTTAGTCTCCCAGGCTGACCTCTTGACGAGCACCCAAAACCACTAAATAGTGTACTATTTAGTCTTGACTCATGCAAACCGGGCTAGTGGCCTGGTAAGACCAGCTAACCACCTTAGGATGGTTTGAGCTGTTTTTCTTCTGTTAGGTAAACAGGTCTTCATCAGTTCACACTTCCCAAATTCCGTGGTCACGCTTGCCTGCTTTCAAACACAACGGAAAGCCTAAACTTGATCCCCCAACAAAATATACAACAACCAGTGGAGCTTTAAAGGTTCTGGTTGGCAAAAAATGTCACTCTGTGAGCTTTTATGAATTGTGTTGTGTGGCAAGTGAGTTTTTGGGTTTGGCAGGTTGGCCTCTCAGTCTGACTGGTGCCCCAATCCCCTTTAAAGCCATCAAAACAGACCAGCCTAACCAGTGGAAACCAGGGGACAGATGCATAAACGTAGCCACTACGTTAAGACCTAGTGTTAATAACTAGTCTGAACAGAAGTCAAGAGTAATCAGTCTTACGTTCAGGATTCAAACTTGTACGGCTAGACTAAACAGTTTATGCAACCAGCCGCAGCTTGGTAGCAAAAGCTGGTCTGAGCCACTTTTATCAGAAAGGTGAAGAGTTTCCCTCCAGTCCATCTGTCTTGCTCTTGCAGTCCAGGTGTTTCTGACAGACAGACAGATGGACTCCGGTTCAATGTGTTTAGAGCTGGTCTCGCTGGCACCCAGGTTCTCCTCTGAGAAACTAATAGAGCAACTGTTGTCACCGCTATTCTGCCCCTCAGAAAATAAATCTATAGGTCTTCACGGCTGGCCGCTCTAGAACCGAGCGCACTTCACCTTGTTCACCAAGGTCAGGAGGGAGCAGCCGTTCACCGCTCGACAATTCCCACATTCCTCTGCGACTCGTTCACACTCCGCTGCTTTCAAACACAACGGCCCACCTACGTGTGTGTGTGTGTGTATGTGTGTGTGTGTGCGTCTGAATATACAATCACCAGCAGAGGTTTTGAGAGCCACTGGCTTGAATATATATCTCCATAGTCTTCTTCAGCTGGCTTTGGTTGGCCACAGTCCTCGCTCTTCAGGTAAACTCACTGAGCTGTTATGAATGTGCTGCGAGGAGTTCTTGGATCAGCTGTAAAGCTGCAGGCCCAGAGTCTGGAGGGATTTCCTGCCCTTCCGTCTGTCCGGAAGCCACCTGTCCTGTGCAATTCCTCAAGAGGTACGTCTCTGTATCTCTGGCTCCATATGGCTTACAGACCCTCCCATTAAAGCTTTAATATGCTGAGCACAGCTTTGACCTTTCTACACACAGGTCTGTTTGTGTCCAGTGACTCATTCAAGACTGTGTTTCTGAATGACACAGAGGTGTCAACAAGCTGACCAATGCAACACCAACATGTTCCCGAATCTATTAGATGCCTTGTTGTCTACATAGGCAGCATCTTAAATAGATCCTCTTGAGTCACTGATTTGACGTATTCCACACAGGCAGCGCCACACAATTTGATAGACCTTGTAATCGACATTTATCTTGCTTACGGATGACATATTTACTGAGCTTGTCACAAGGCATTCTGCGATTGCCTCTGTGAAGGCTGCAATGCTGCCAAAACATTTGGCCTAAATGAAACATTTTGTAAAGCAACACAATGTTGCTGAATGGATTTTGAGGAGCCTTCAAGTCTGGAGTGCACCTATGAATGCTGTCTTCGTAGGCAGCTCACTAGGCTTTGGAACTTCTAGACCAGTGTTTCCCAATTCTGATCCCAGAGTTCCCCCAATTAATCCACATTTTGTGCATCTCTCTAATCAAACACATCACATTCAACTCATCAGCTTGTTACTAGAGACCCTTAAAGGGTTAGTTCACCCAAAAATGAAAATTAGCCCGTAGATTACTCACCCTCAAGTCATCCTAGGTGTATATGACTTTCTTATTTCAGACGAATCCTGTCGGAGTTATATAAAAAATTGTTTTTGATTTTTCAAGCTGTTTAATGGCACTCAGCGGATGTTGCATGCATCAGTCCAAAAGAAGTTAAATAAAAAGCGCCCATCCATTGAAAACAAAGTGTCTCACACGGCTCCGGGGGGTGAACAAAGGCCTCCTGTAGCAAACTGATGTGTTTTTGTAAGAAAATATCCATATTCAAAATGCAATAATCACTTTAATCTAGCTTGTGCTCACTGCTGTACATGGAAGCAGCTCCGGGCGATTGACGTATGAGGTCAGCTTTGCGCATGCGCCGCTCAGAAGTGACGAACGCGGAAGCGCAGCGGAGAGATCAAAACAAAACAACGGTCACTAATTAGAAGTACAAAACGAGGATTTGTAAAGAAGAATGTCGGGAGGATTTCGATATAAGCCAAGAGGAGACTGGTTTTCCTTTGCTAAAGTAAGGAAACCGTCATCCGCCCGGAGCTGCTTCCATGTAGGACTGTTGGCGCAAGCTAGATTAAAGTCATTATTACCTTTTGAATATGGATATTTTTCTTACAAAAACGCAGCGTTTCACTACAGGAGGCCTTTTTTCACCCCCCGGAGCCGTGTGAGACACTTTTTTTAATGTATGGGCGCTTTTTATTTCACTTCTTTTGGACTGATGAATGCAACACCCGCTGAGTGGCATTAAACAGCTTGAAAGAAACTCTGACTGGATTCGTCTGAAAGAAGAAAGTCATATACACCTAGGATGACTTGAGGGTGAGTAATTTATGGTCTAATTTTCATTTTTGGGTGAACTAACCCTTTAAAGCTGGGCATGTCAAATAAGGGAGACATCCAACATATGCACTGTTGAGGACACTAGGGTTGGGAAGCACTGCTCGAGACTTCTCACGTTCCTCATGATTCAAGCATAGAATCTAGTCCTAGAATCTTCACTTCATTGAAAAAGAGTTGGAATCAAAATCTTTTGAAGTTTCCTAGGACACCCTGTTTCAGACTCAAGGAGTTGGCTGATGGTTTGTGTTTGATGGTGAAGATGAGGAGGATGGCGGTCGGCCGCTCTTACCGGGAGTCTGGAAGTTCAGACGGCGTAACTCCACAGGGTCTGTGGGGTGATGGGAGGGCATTTCTTTACCGCTGGGCAGACTGCCTTTCCTGGCCTCTGACTCCGCCCTTTTCCTGAAAGAAATACATCATATACTTCAGGACAAAACTGTGTTTGGACTATCAGAGCAGCACTGCAAGAGGTCAAGCAAACATGCTCGTGATGGGCATTCAAATGTGACACGTCCTGGCGTTCTGTGAGCCGTGACCACTGCGTGTGTCTCAGGTACAGCTCTTCTGCATGCTCTCACCTGTCTGGTTGACTGCTCCAGTGGAAGCGGCAGGAGGGGAGAACAGAGAGTTAGTACGCAAGACAAATACCGATGTCCTCATCACAACTGCTGATATACAGAGTGGCTTTGCATTTGTTAGTTTTCGTCTGATCCGTTGTTTTAAATCACATCCACTGCACCACTGCTCCTAACTAGATTTAGTGTGACATAACATACTCAAGGCGTTATCTCACAGTCTTGTTTTTCTCCAGTAATTTAGTTTTTTGTTTTGAATATATATATATATATATATATATATATATACATACATTGAAGTGTGCTAACAAGGACCTGGGGTCATGAAATGGCTCTTAGTTCAAAACAGTTTGAGAAACCCTGAAGAATCTGATGAGTAAAACTAATTATACAATTAATAATGATAATACACTACTAATCAAAAGTTTGGGATTAGATTGTTTAATGTTTCTGATAGAAGTTTCTACTGCTCACCAAGGTTGCATTTATTTGATCAAAATACACTACAACTTTTTATATAGTATTACAATTTAAAATAGCTGTGTTCTATGTGAATATCTGTTAAAATGTAATTGATTCCTGTGATCAAAGCTGAATGTTCAGCATCATCACTTTTTTTTTTTAAGAAAAAAATAAAATTATATACTATACAACCTTTTCCAGGCCTAACAACCTGTTTTATTCCCGATGTGTACAGGTTTTCCACTGTGTGTGTTCACTTGACAGCAGGGATTGCTCTCTTGTTTCTGTTTGTTTGTTCTGAATTGGTGCATCACAGCAGCGAGTGTGTTGTGTTGTTGACATTGTAATATTACACTATGAGCTGTGTGCATGAGCCCGTGACATTGATTCTGTGATTAACAAATAAATCTGCCACCAGAAGACATCAAATAACCCTGGATATATGAAGGACCTCATCATGATAGATGTTCAGCTCAATGCCTGACTGTAATTTACAGCAGATGATCAGATCAGTATATATTCAAATGAGCACCACAGATTATCGCACAGATACTGACGATGCATAACTGCAGAAACACACACACACACGCACACACACACACACACACACACACACACACACACACACACACACACACACACTCGCACTCACACTCACACACACACAAATGCACACAATGGCTTAAAGTCAAGATGAAATCCAAACTGACTCCATTTACTTCCTTAACACATGTTCCTGCTCTTAACGTTATTCCGATGATCAGCTTGCTTTTGCAATCTTTCACCCTAATAACTAAGAAATTAAGTCACTTGGATAATGCTAAAGCTAATAAAATCCCACTGTACTTATTTTTCTTTTTGCTTAAATCTGGGTTATTGAAGTTAATTAAAACTAAAACTGAAAATAAAATAAAATTAAAATCATAAAAAATATTTTTTGTTACTTGAAATAAAATAAAATGTTATTTAAAAAAAATTCTCACATTTCTCATTTTAATTACTTAACCTAATGTACTAACATGACTACAACTGAAATAAAATGAATGATATATATATATATATATTTATATATATTTATATTAATATAGTAACTTCGTCACGAGGAGCCTGCCTGCACTGTCTGTGGTTACGCCGCCGGAGTGTGTGCTTCTCCACGGTTTCTACCTCTTGTACAGCAGGATGGCGATGACGATGCAGATGATGAAGATGACGGCCAGCACAGGCCCCACGACCCAGATCAGACCCTCCTCTTCATCGATTATGGGCTGCGGGTCGATATCGGCAAACATCACCAGATCAGAGTACGGACTCGCCGCGTACAACATCTGCAAGAAAAACCACCACAACATGTTTGATGTGTCTCTGGGTTTGATGTGTTTTCAATGGGCCGAGTGCAGCAGAAACGTGCAGCTCGTAGTTTTGTTAAAGCACTTGCATGAACTATTCAGCAGAACAAAAGAGTTTGTTATTTGATCTGTAAAGTGTCTAAGTCATGCCTTTTGAGGTGGAACTACTACACAACTATTTCACGTTCACATGCATTAAACTATCCTTGCATAGATCGCACTTGTAATTGTATACACGTAATGATATGTTTCAGACTAATGCAGGGAACATTTCTTTAAAGCCGTTTCCTTGCAATCAATGGCAGCGTATTATTATTCAAGCACACAGTCAAACAGCCTTGACGTGCTGGAAACAATTAACGGAAACAATTAAACGGAACTATATACATACGATCATATAAAAACACTGTCAGAGGTCTGAAATCCTGTTATGACTGATTAATGTAATATTCATCAGTGTGTGTTGCATTGTGTTCAGTGATGTGAGTTACGAACTACATTCAGTGATTAGCATCTAATTTACTCTGAAATCATCAGCACAAGCAGATAAACGGAGACGTAAGACTGGGTGTGTGTGTGTGTGTGTGTGTGTGTGTCTGCAGTGCAGTTCATAAGGCTCTGCTGCTATTAAAGGGAAGGAGTTTATCTCACAGTCCCGCCGCTGACAGCTCTTCAGGGCTTTCCCTCCGAGAGACAGACAGACACATAGTCAGAGAGACAGACGCACTGCTCATATTGTTCAGTCTCTCGCTCTGACCTTTATAAGTAAATATATTCATAATATTATTATTATTACCAGTGTTAGGGGTAACGCATTACAAGTAATACAAGTTACGTAATCAGATTAAATTTGCTTTACTTTTTCAAATAAGTAAAGCAAGTTTGTCTTCCCATTCATTCACTGACAGCTTTCCTGTCCCTGTGTTGAGAGAAACTGGGAGTAAGTGCAATATGTGAAGGGGCCTTTACAGCTGCCAAAAATATAACTCTTTTGGGTTTTTGTTATTAAAAATATATATAAAAGCAAGCCCAGCCACGATGAAAAAAAGATACGCAAAAGTAATGTAATGCATTACTTTTAATAAAAAGTAAATAAAAAACTAAGTTATGCAATTAGTTAACTTTTTAATGGAGTTACACAATATTGTAATGCATTTGTAAAAGTAACTTTTCCCAACACTGATAATTACTTTTATTTATTTGTTTGTTTGTATTTTTTTAACCATAAAACCAATAGCAGATGACAAAACCTGTCCAAGTTTCATCGTCCACTTTCTACTGGCTTTCATTTTAATGTTATATTGAGTAATTTTACGAGCTTTTTTATTCTTAAAAAAATATTTATATTTAAATTGATTTTTAGTTTTAGTTTTAGCAATTTTAGTACTTAAACTTCTATTAGTTGCCAAAGCAACATTACTTAATTACATTTACGTTTTTGACGTTAAAGTTTTTATCTAATATTTACAATTTATTTTATTTAAGTTTTATTTCAATTAACAAAATGTATTTATGACAACAACACCGGAACACCTTGATTTAAAAGAACGCGAGTGTCACAAATTTTGTGTGGTTTATCCACTAAAAAAATAAAAATAAAAATAAAATAAAATAAGACATATTCGCAGTTGTGCTTCTCAAATAGCTGCATCTTGCGTTGCGTATGTTTCCATCAAAGCAGCAGAAAGCGGCTAACACTCACGCTGTCGGAGATCTCCAGCACCGCCAGCACGAAGAAGACGTACTCCTGTCCGTTCAGCAGCTGCTTGTTCTCGAAGTCTCCGTACATCTCAGCGTCTCCCAGCGTGAACTCGGTCGGCAGCTCGCGGAAATACGCCGCGATGTACGGCTTGGGCTCCATCTGCCGACGGAAGCGAAGAGCGCGACTCGTTCGGTTGATTTCTCGCAACAGCTGAAAGAAACACGGAGTGAAACGAATGATCAGCCCCGCACACAAACACACATTCTGATCAGATAGTATTTATTCATATTCTGAATTACCTTTTATTTTTGTATTTTCAGTTTTTATTTAAATTTTAGTTTATTTTACAGCGGTGGCCAAAATGATTAGAACACTATTATTCTCAGCAGCTAGAAATGGTTTTACGTCAGTTATTTCTATCTTTTGCTGTAGTGTGTCAGTAGAAAATATCAGTTTACTCAATCCAGAAGAACTGTGTCTCCAAGACGCTTCAAGAGACCTACCTGCAAAGCTCCTGAGAAACTCTGGAAAAAAAGCTGCTTTAAACACAAAGGATGCTCACGCTAAATGTTGATTTAATTTAGGTAATATAAGTTAATTGATAAGAAAATCTATTAATGGCATTATTTTTGACAGCATCCTCATGTTATAGCATTTTTACACAAGTGCCTAAAACTTTTCACAGTACTGTAGCTTTGCAGGAGGTTTCTTGAAGCGTCTCGGAGACACAGTTCTTCTGGATTGAGTCTGTCTCAGTTTGTTCTGTTTCTTCATGTGACTCCAGACAGACTGATGATGATCAGATCACATCTCTGTGTGCAGCAAAAAATCTCACTGCAGTATTACAATGAATGGCCAAATGAATGTTTGGGAATGTAAAATTATATTTCCTACTGACACACTACAGCAAAAAATAGAAATAACTGACTTAAAACCA